AGTCCAGGTGATATGTGAAAATAATGTTCACTTTTTCATAAAAGCATGAAACTTGGTACACTTGTATAGTTTGCGGCCCTAAGCATTTTCAGAAATGGAGCCATCGCAAAAACACCTTGTGGTGACCATTTCACTTTCCGTCATAACAAAATTATGTATTTTGTGACATACAGTATCTCCTGAACCAAACATGATAACGCATAAGAGATGATGTCTACCTCTATGTTTTGATGGTCAAGGATTACAATGATACCATATACAAAAACATAAACTGTTCAGGTGAAGAGTTAATCGTGAAATCAGCAATGTGAGAAGGAAATCACAGTATCTGAGCTTCACAGTACCACAGCATTTACAAAAGTCCATATTATGGCTATTAATTTTTTCTTTCTTTGATAATTAACTAATATTTTATTCAATAGTACATTAAAAGATTGTTTTCAAAAATACTATCATATATTTCAGAGATATAAAAAAAAATTATCCCAGGTAAGTGTATTTTTCCGTACCTCTCAGGCAGAGTCAGGTAGGTGGTAGTGTGTTTCCAATACATTCTTGTTCTCTCTCAACAATGCTCTAACATCACACGCAGATGGCGATGCAATCAGGTGAACAGTTAATGGTTAATTCAGTGACTTTATGAGAAGGATTACAATGAAATCTCAGAAGATGCAGAATTAAATTTCAAACATATTTCATGTAAACTTAATTTACAATCACTCTGGGGCCAGAGTTGTCTATTATGTTGTCCACAAGGGGGAAGCCAGAGTCGTGCATGCGGGCGGGTACATGCAGTTGAATCGCTAATATTTGATTGTAACGGGTGGAATAATATTTATGTGTAGGGTGTGGTGCGGGAGCGGGCCAGACGGTGACAAGCACGGGCAGGTTGCGGGTCCAATAACCAAGACTATTTCGACTCAGTCCAGTACACTCTGAGCAATGTAGCCGATCGCGCTGCCACTAATTGTCAGCTGTAGTGATTATATTAAAGGGGTCATATGATGCGATGTGATTTTTCCTTTCTCTTTGGAGTGTTACAAGCTCTTGGTGCATAAAGAAGATCTGTAAAGTTGCAAAGACTAAAGTTTCAAATCCAAAGAAATATTCTTTATAAAAGTTAAGACTCGTCCACGCTCTCCTAAACGCCTCGTTTAAACACGCCCAGTTTTGTCTACCTCATGTAGGAGATTTAATGCAGGTGTGGTTCGGGTCCCAGTTTTTATGTCAAATGGGTCGGGTATGGGATTAAATTAGTGTTGCTGTCAAATAACGTGTCGGGTGTTCTATTAATTACTGCGATTGTGGGAAGATTATTTCACCAGCCAGGAAAGGTGAACGAAAATGCCTTTCTGTGATGTTACCACAAGGCATCGCTTACTTACAGATCTCAGGCTTCTGGAGGGGATGTAGATTCGTAAGCGTGAGGAGGAAGTAGGAAGGTACTGAGCCTGTGGCTGTTCTGTACCATAGACTGTATAAAAACATGGACGTAGTGCCCGTGACGTCACCCGTAGGTTTCCGAAGAGCGTTTTTGAAGCGTAAACATATTTTTTTCCTGCTGTAAAGTTGGGCATTTTAACATGGGGAGTCTACTGGACTGACTCCCTTTTGGAGCCAGCCTCTAGCGGCCAGTCGATGAATTGCAGTTTTAGTCACTTCCTTGTTGGTTTCATGAGAGAGACCGGAAGGTTGCCACTTGTTCTGTATGCAAACATCAATGTCTTGAACTTGATGCGAGCGATTGTGCTTGATGGAAGTCCAGCCAGAAGAGCATTGCAGTAGTCCAGCCTAGAAATGACAAGGGCCTGGGCAAGAAGTTGTGCAGCATGCTCTGTTTGGAAGGGCCTGATCCTCCTGATGTTGTGCAATGCAAACCTGCATGATCGAGCTGTCTTTACTATATGGTCCTTGAAGGTCAGCTGGTCACCAAATAATAGTTTTTGATGAACCTAGCAGGATGATGAAATCATGCTGTAGAGTCGAAGTGGCAGGGAAAACAAGAAGATCAGTCTTTGCCAGGTTGAGAAAATGCCTCTCTGTGATGTTACCACACGTCATCACTTACTTACAGATCTCAGGCTTCTGGAGGGGATGTAGAGTGAGGAGGTAGTAGGAGGGTGCTGAGCCTGTGGCTGTTCTGTACGCAAACATCAATGTCTTGAACTTGATGCGAGCTGCAACCGGTAGCAAGTGCAGAGAGATAAAGAGAGGTGTGAAGTGGGCCCTTTTGGGCTCATGGAAGACCAGTCGTGCCACTGCATTCTGAAACATTTGTCGAGGTTTGATTGAGCATGATGGAAGTCCAGCTAGAAGAGCATTGCAATAGTCCAGCCTAGAAATGACAAGGGCCTGGGCAAGAAGTTGTGCAGCATGCTCTGTTTGGAAGGGCCTGATCCTCCTGATGTTGCGCAATGCAAACCTGCATGATCGAGCTGTCTTTACAACATGGTCCTTGAAGGTCAGCTGGTCACCAGAGAATACTTTTTGATGAACCTAGCAGGATGATGAAATCATGCTGTAGAGTCGAAGTGGCAGGGAAAACAAGAAGCTCAGTCTTTGCCAAGTTGAGCTGCAGGTGTTCCTTCATCCATGCCGGGATGTTTGCCAGGCAGCCTGAGATCCATGCAGCTACTATTGGATTGTCTGGTTGAAATGAATGATATATGGTGAAGAGGAGGGGTCCAAGAACTGATCCACGAGGGAACCCTGTGACCAGTTGATATTCTTGGGATACTTCTCCTCCCCAGGAAACCCTGAAAGACCTACCTGGATTCACAGTGTCAGAAGTGGCAGATAGATCCAGCAGAATAAGAACTGATGATTTGGAATCAGCTTTCGCTGCAGGGCTATAGTGACCGACAGCAAAGCAGTCTCAGTTGAATGGCCGCTGCTGAAACCTGATTGATTAAAGTTCAGCTGGTCATTCTGTGAAAGAAATAATGTAACAGGTGTGAACCAAATGGTCCATACCATTAGAATTACAAAGGAACAGCATTCCTCAGGAACGTCTTGTAGATTGCAGGATCTCAACATCGCTATTGAAGAACTGCTACACTACCATCTTCAATAAATTCTTCTCCCCACAAAAATTTTGGTCAAGCCTACTTAATTTTTTACAGTAGATTTACTAGTACATTGGTGAGCCACCCAAAAGACTGCTCAGCAAAAATACAGTAAGATGATGATACATGGGGCAACTTTTTAGGTTAGAAGTGGTATTATGCACTGGCCTGTCTAAACAGATAGTCTTGACAAGAAGTTAAAGTGGATCATAAAGTGTCAAGAAGAGGTGCAGATAGGATGCAGCTTAGCAAGATTGTGTTGCCGTCTGCGTGTGATGTTAGAGCATTGTTGAGAGAGAACAAGAATGTATTGGAAACATACTACCACCTACCTGACTCTGCCTGAGAGGTACGGAAAAATACACTTACTTGATATTATATTTTTTATATCGCTGAAATAAATGATTGTATTCTTGAAAACAATCTTTTATTGGACTATTGAATAAAATATTAGTTAAGCTGGTGTGTGGTGGGCGTTCTGGCGCAATATGGCTGCCGTCGCATCATCCAGGTGGATGCTGCACGTTGGTGGTGGTTGAGGAGATTCATGTAAAGTGCTTTGAGTACCCAGAAAAGCGCTATATAAATGTAACGAATTAATAATTAATTAATTAATTAAAGCAATCTTTTATTGTACTATTGAATAAAATATTAGTTAATTATCAAAGAAAGAAAAAATTAATAGCCATAATATGGACTTTTGTAAATGCTGTAGTACTGTGATGCTCAGATACTGTGATTTCCTTCTCACATTGCTGATTTCACGATTAACTCTTCACCTGAACAGTTTATGTTTTTGTATATGGTATCATTGTAATCCTTGACCATCAAAACATAGGGGTAGACATCACTTTTTCTGTGTTATCATGTTTGGTTCAGGAGATATGACACAAAATACATAATTTGGTTATGGCGGAAAGTAAAATGGTCGCCATGGCAACCACGAGGTGTTTTTGCGATGGCTCCATTTCTGAAAATATTCAGTGCCCCAACCTGTACAACTGTACCAGGTTTCATACTTTTATGAAAAAGTGAACATATCACCTCAAATTTTGCACATATCACCTGGACTATATGACTTTATTTCCTTAGTTGAACTTTTTTTTCTCCTTGGTCATTTTTTCTGTGCGGTTACTGTTAATGGATTCTGGAGCTCAAAAGCACCATAAAAGTATCATGAAAGTGCACGATATTCTAAGTTTGTTGAATTCATATAATAGCTTTGTGAATTTTAAATTGTTCTCTTTAATTAGCTGGTAATGGATGACCAGATCAGTCCGATTCTTTAATTAATTTTTCAGAGTGTTGAAAAACTTTTATCAATTCATTTGATTCAACAGAATATTTAATTCATAAATCACCACTTCCCTCATGAATTTTAAAAGTAGAGTTAGCATGGGTGTCAAGATTTTATTTTTAAAAAAGGCATTTTTGCCTTTATTTGTATAGGTTAATAGACACTTGACAGAAAGCAAAGTGTGAGAGAGTCAGAAAGTACCACAACTCAGGACTCAAACTCGAGTCCATCGGCTCCAATGGATATCAAGATTTTCAATGCATACTGACTTACTACTAAAGATTGTTGTGTTTCTCACACAAAGCTATTTTATGGCTTCTGAAGACTTCTTAGATGCTGCACACAGACTTGTATGTTCTACTTATGTAAAAGATATAGAATACTTTTATGGTGCTTGAAAGGTCTATTTATATTAATGAAAAAAGCATTCTTCAGAATTTCTCCTTTTTGTGTTACACAAGAAAAAGAAAGTCAGACAGGTTTGAAACAGCATGAGGATGAGAAAGTAATTTTTTATTTTTCAACCGTTCCTTTGAGTGTGTTATTGCTGCTGGAAAACTTGATTTCAGAGGTCTCTCAGACCTCAGATGTTTGATCTCTTTTATTAGATTTAATGTAATTGACTGAATTTTTTTTAGGCCGCCACAGCCTGCAGCTAAGAAGGTCTATTCTAGCTCTAATTCTGAACCTGGTCCAGCTCAGAGCTACATGGATTACATGGTCCTAGACCCCCACCAGTCCTCCTCGCTCCGGATGCAAGCCCTACCAGTGGACCCATACTCATACCTACAAGTAAGTAGCATAGAAAATCAAACAGATTTATCTTACCTTTTTATATTCATTTCTCTCATTGTTCCCTAACAGGAGGACATGACCCATTCTCTCCATCCTCATACCAGCATGGGATACCAACGACCCCCCTCTCGAGCTGGAGCACAGCAAAGAGACAGAGACCGCCAGCTCCTGGAAGATGCTGTCTCTCTCTACCTCTCCTCCACACAACCCTCTTTCCGCCACAGGGGGGCAGCAGCCCTCCCTGCCGCCCCATACTATGAAGATCTAGATTTCCCTTTGGAATATGGAGAGGACTACACCCTACAGGAACAGGCCAGCTCAGCCCAGCGCAACAACAAGAAAATCCCTCAGGACTACAGCTCTCTTGCTGGACTTGATGGTGAGTACCTTTCTTGGGACGCTTCAAATATTGTGCCCTTAAGAGGATGTCATAGTAAACAATGCACTATTGAAGTCTGCGGTTTTCCCATTTGCTTTAGTTTAGAATGGATTAAAATTATATTATGGAGCTGTTTATTGTATCGTGCTTGAACAGATGTGTATTTTAAGCTTGTTTGCTGTTTAGAGAGCAAGTATGATAAGATACATTTGTGCAAAACTGAGGACTAGGATTCCTGTACCTAAAATAGTAGAACTTTTGGTGCTAGTAACACCAAGGTCATGTTTTAAATCCCAGAAAATGCTTAAACTTGTAAAATCTGTACTTTGAATCCAATGTAAGTTGCTTTGGATAAATAAACGTGTAAATGTAGCATTTTTTTCAGTTGTTAGTGGTGGTGCGTGCTGATGTTTTAATTTCATTCAGCATGTTAATATTTGTGTTGTAGATGATACACTGGCACAGCTGGCCACACTGTTAAAGAGTTTTGGGGTGGACCCACGGGACCTGAGCCCTCAGCAGATAAAACGACTTACTCTAGTGTTACAGCTGCTACAAAACATGGAGAATGCAGGTATAGAGTGACATCACAACACACACAAATGTACTTATGTCATTCATTCAGACATATGCATTATCACACTGCTTGAATCATAATTAAATTATTAGGTCTTATGCATCCCTCAGTTTTTACTCTTGTATCATTAAGATTATTTGTGGGACAAAAGCACTGTGTGATGTTTTTTTTTCTTATCTTTGTGTTCCTCAGATCAATCCCCAGGGACAGTCACGGTAAAAGAGGTAGATGCAGATTTGCAGTCTGAATTATTCACCTAAATGCTTAAAGAAAATAACACTTCCACCAGCATTTGTTTTGCTTTTAATGCATAGTTGAGTGAGTCATCTAATTATTTAAATAACACTGCCACTTATCAGAGAGCATGATAAAGGAGTAAAAAGAGTTATTAATTAGCTGTATATTGCATTTTCAGGTTTAAAGGGGTCATATGATGTTGCTAAAAAGAACATATGAACAACACATTTTTGTACACGATAAAAACTCCTTGTGGTTTCTCGGTTTGGCCAATTTGAGCATCCATAAACAACGCAAAACACAGGCATTTTAGTTTCTGCTAGTGATTCCTACGAAGAAAAATCACTTCCTGCCCTCCAGCTGCATTTCGCACGTCATCATCCAGTGTGTTGTGATTGGTCGAATACCTCAAGCGTGTGACGGAAATGTTACGCCCCTTACCATATTGTGATGGAACGACGAGACAAAAACATGAAAACCCATTATAAACGAGGCATTTGTTGCATCCAGTGGGGACATAATTACGGATTATAATGATTTATACTGTCTTTTTACGCATTGCGTTGCATCGCGCCGCGTAAACATAAAACAATGTCTGCATTTGTGATCGGAGAAATTACAAACAACAAGCGCTACTCTACACTGCTCAAAACTCGCGTTTGAATCATCAGTGGCAAATCCTTTAAATACGAAAACGTACTTACAGTCTGTGAGTCAGAACAGCCAGCATTGTAGTCTACTCTACCAGGATCAGGAAACAGTCCTCCATAAAATGCGCTGCACACATCTGAATATTTGGGTTAAACTGTTCTGGAACAGTGTTGCAACGTTCTAGTCTGATTTATAGTCGTGTCCTCTTTTGGAAGGCCAAACAAAGTATTTTCGCTTTCGCAACGAAACACACAGCATCTTCACAACATGGCGGCAGCGGCAGCAACAATAAAGTTACACCTTCTTTCTTTGCGTGAACATTTGGGCGGCGTTATGCAAATCTTCCCACATCGTGACGTAGACATGTAGGGGCGTGTTTAAACGAGGTGTTTTAGGAGGGCGTGGACCAGTCTTAACTTTTATAAAGAATATCTCTTTGGGATTGAGACTTTAGTCTTTGCAATTTTAGGGATCTTATCCCTAAAAAAAACTGAACTATTTGTACTATGTTGTGCTTTTTTCTTCACACACAACGCTTTGTGTTTTCCTCCACAGACAATTGTAGAAGGCAGTGATAAAGTGACGAAAGGAGCGAAACCCCCCTTACCTGTTTCAGCTCTGCCATCTACCCCAACATACCAGCGGGCCCCTACTCAGCCCCCATCCACACCAGCCCCTGCGACTGTGCCTAAGGAAGACAGTGGGGACACTGTGGGGCCCACCCTGTCAGTAAAAGACCTAGATATAAAAGAGAAAATCACCAACATCCTGGAAACCGTTAAGGATGGTACAAACACCAGAGAGGAATATGGCTACATTGTCACTAATCAGAGGTAGGAGCTCCTAAAACTTTATAGGGTTTTAATGCTGTATTATATAGATGGCAGATGCCTGTTCATTTTAGACACAGTCCATGCTCAAGTTTTTACCAAAAACACAATTTTTGTAGAATTAGAATTAGTACAGTATTAGTATTATTTCATAGTTTATTTTTTTGTCTCAGAGTACAGTGAAAAGACTGATTTTTAACTGTTGGACAGTTTTTCTTTTCTGCTTTGAAAGTAATGAATGTAATGAAACAGAATGATGAGCATTTCAATAGCACAGTATTCCCATTGTTATGGAAAACATGAAAATAGCAGGAAATTGTCATTAAAAAGCATAATTGTAGTTGATATACATTTTTTTTTCATGCTTATTTCTAAAATATTTCATCAGAAAATTGCTATAAATTTATTTATACTATTTTAAATAATGTATATAATAATGACTGGAAATGCCAAGAAAAAAGTCCTGAACAGTTTTTACAAAAATGTATGACAGGGTTTATCTGGGAAATATTTAATATGACTGCATGAAATCTAATCTACATACCAATTCAAATTTTAAATTAGAAATAGCTTGCTCCAATTTATTCTTCCCTTTTTTATATTATAGAATTTCCTAGAATTTTAAAAGACTCATTTAAGATCAGTTTTTCCTCTTTGAGATCTTTGAAAAATATAGTCTGGTGTGTATTTCTGATGATTTCCTGATGTATTTATGTCAATACAGCTGAATGTTCCTTGAAATTAATTTAATTTATTTGTGCTGAATGCTCATAATAAAATAAATGTATGTCGTCTTGTGTTTTCCCTCCAGTCCTTTAGGTCTTTATGATGGGGTGAAACTCTTAGAGATGCTGGCGGAGAGAATCCATCTCTCCACGAGCAGTTTCATCAACATTAGGTAAAGTGTGTGTGTGTGTGTGTGCGTTGCTGGATGGAGAGACTGATAGATTAGTGAATAAAGGGTGAGAATAAAAGAAAACGAAATCTATCGGCCGTTTGTCTCTGCTCATGTCTGCAGCGTGGTGGGCTCGGCCCTGACGTTCAGGATCCGACAGAACTCTCTTAATCTCAGCGCAGAGGATGTGGCCAATAAAGCCGGTGAGTGACAAGCCTTCTCGTTTGGACCGTTCATTTTGATGAAAAGGAAAAAAGAATGAGCAGGCACTTACTGATTAATTCACCAGCATTCATTGTCTTTACATTGCAGTAGCTGAGAAGAATTTCCTTGAGGGTGAGACAGGATTGAAAATCATCCAGACTGGAGTAGGAGAGGTATGCTTATCCCATTTTTTTATGTCTTCCAACCAACCCGCAAGACCCACATGTTCACTGTGATCAGCAGGTCTATTGATTAGCGATTATGGGAACTGGTTGGTATAATGAGCCACTCTCTCTTGTCAGTCAGCAACAGAATTGGCCACACAGGTCACTATTCTGTGCATAACCACCCTCATCAACCAAACAGGGAACGTTCTCATTGAAATTCATAGATTCTACAGTTTTGTCCATCTATTTATGTACAGATCACGTACCAAGATATAATTCCCGGTTCTCATGAATCACTTTGGCGTTTAATACTGAACCGAACAAGGAGGGCATTTGAAATGAAATGTTTTTGAATCGTCACCGTTCATCTCGAACTGTCCCCACTGTACCGTTCCCCCGTCTCAAATCCTCCTGCGTTTTTTCCCGCTGTGCCTCATTTCTCTCCCTCACTCATTCTTTCTCTTCTTGTCCCCTGCCATTCTCCCCTCTGCCATTCTTTTGGCCCTTCTCTTTTTGTTACCTCTGCCTTTGACCCCTCCCCATCCCTTTCTCCCTCGCTCCCCCACTTTCTTGGGTGGCTTTTGTGCTCGGTGCATATTGAGGCGTTCTGCTCTCCCTCGCTCGCTCCCCTTTCACTTTGTACAGCTGTTGCAGACCCTTGAATGCAGAATAATGTCTTTTGTTGCATCCGGCTGCTCATATTTTTAATTATTCTTTCTTGTTCTATTGTGGGCTGTGACACTTTCTTTGCTCTGAAGTGCACGGTGTATGAGTGAGTGAGTGAGTGTGTGCGTGTGCTTTCTCCCTGTCCTTTATCTTATAATTTTCTCTCTCTGCCTCAGTAATGAGACCTTGCACCTGACTGTTTTTGTCCGCTTTTTATGGGGATAAATGCTTAGGCTGTTTTGTCTCTCTGTGCTTCTTTCTCTCTCTGTGAGTCTTTTTCTTTACTTCTTTAATGAATTAAAGTTTTTACGTCCCACAGTGACATACACAGCAATGCCGTTTCAGCACTCCCACTGAGATTGCGCTGAAATCTTATTAAAGGGATAATTCACCCAAAAATTCTAATTCTGTCATAATTTACTCACCCTAAGATATTTTGAAGAATGATGGTAACCAAACAGTTGCTGGTCCCCATTGGCTTCCATAGTATTTTTTTTCCATACTATGGAAGTCAATGGGAACCATCAGCTGTTTGGTTACCATCATTCTTCAAAATATCTTCTTTTGTGTTTAACAGAAGAAAGAAATGTAAACAGTTCTGGAACAACATGAGTGTGAGTAAATGATGACCACATTTTTATTTTGGGATGAGCTATTAATTTAATTGAGAAAATGTTTTCAAATGTATCCTAGGACTTTTATATTTATTGGATGGCGCATCCTGAAAATCCTTGTCAGCTTAAAATATAATAAGTCCATCTTAAAGCATATTTATCAGTCGTGTCAATTTAAACACTTATTATTCTATAAATCTTTGGCAGGGTGTGTTACCCGTATTATCCCCAGCTTGTGCGATCTCATATATCTTCTGTTGTACGGTTGTTCCAGATGTGAAGACTCAGTGTTTGTGTCCTTGCCAAACCATATTACTTACAAACCCCTTTTTGGGCCCATGGCACTTTCCTTACACTCCATTCGTTGTACCCCCTCCTGCTCCTGTTGATTTCGGCCCGTTTTTTCCCTCCTCTCTCTCTCACGGACGACCTATCCAGGTCATCATTACCACCCCTCACCCCACCATTTCACCATCAGCAACATGTGGAGCTGTCGCTACGGCAACGACGTTTGATGTGACAAGTGGCGGCATTGGTTGAATGGGGCTGAGAGGCAGCGAGGCCTTCATACGAGTCGGACACAGCTCTCGGGGAGGCACATTCTCTCTTTCCCCTCCCTTTTCTCGTCCTTCCCATTTATTTTCACTCATTTACCTTTTCGCTCCGGCACTACACGTATG